TTCAGGGATAAAAAAATAATTTTGGGAATTTTTCTGTAATTTTTGGCCCCCCCCCCCCCCCCATTTGCTACAGCACAGGAAATAAATCTGGAGGGGGGGAGAATCAAGTGGCCCCTTATCCTCTGGCCTCTTTCTCTTCCAGCACCATCTCTCCCTCCCCTCCTTTTACTGCCAGACCCTGTTCTCTCTCAGCTCCTGGAAGCGAGGGGCAAATTTGAAATCACAGACTTTGACATGCACATGCCTGTAGTAATTTGCATATAGGCAGATTACTGTGGCTACGCACAGACTTAGTTCATCCACAATTGATGCATTTTATCTTTTTTTCAAATTGTTGCAATTTTTAGCACATAAAAGCACCCTTAAGCATCCCTTTTGTAGCTATTTATATGCAAGACAAAGTATGCATGATACTAGTACAAAGCCAAAAGGCTCATGATTTACCATATAGTTTACTGGGCTGGGCCCCAACAGAGTCAACAGGATTTCAAGCCATAGCTCAGCACTGCTTAGTATATGTGTGTATTCCAGATTCCTGCTCCCCCTGCTACTCCCTCCCTGCCAAAGGATCCATGTGTTCATTAACCCTTCCACTCATGACTGGAACTGGGTGTTCTTGTTATGAGTCTCCAAAAATGAATCCTCCAAAAATGTATATGCAGATGAGGTGCAGGGGCAACCTGGTCCAATGTCATCTCATGGAGGGTGGGGCCATGCTAATTATATGCAAAAGTCAGAGGGTTGGGGGGTGACAGATTCTGGATGAACTGTTAGGGGCTGCATTTGGTGAGGTTTGCCAGACATGCATTTAAGGCTGGTGAAGAAATGGGAATGATTGGAAGTAGGAAAGAAAGGCACAGCTCATCTGTGGGAGTAAAGAGGAAGTCGAAGTGCATTCAGTGTAATGGCTCACCATGACTTGAAAGAGATGGCACTAAGGGGGTTTGAGTTCAATAGACACTACCATATATCTTATTCAGATGGGCTGCGTTAAGTTATCTTTGTAGTGTAGGTACTGATCAGCATTTTTGGCACCAGGGAAGAGTGTTGGAGGTTGCTCTGGTATCTCCAAGTTCCAGTCTGGTATTGCAGTACCTCCAGGCCCGGTGGTCATAGCCTGCTGGAGGAGCCATTTTCTCCCCCCCATGCCCCACTTTTTTTTTTTTTGGAAGGGCTGGGCACAAAAAAGAAATGAACACGTTGTTCCTATCAGTATATTTAATGAATATGGGCCATGCGTTTCATACTAGTCATGCTGTTTTGCCTATGTTTAATCAACTTCATAGTAGGTTTCCATTTTTAAGCACATTCTGCTTTTGGCAGCAGTTTAATGATAGGTAATGTATTTAAGGAGGTTTCCTTGTATGAAAATACAAGACAAGGAGCTCTTTTCCCTCATGTCGACGGGGGTGCTTGTCTTATTTCAGTAAATACGGTATTATTATTTTTTTAGTAGCTTTCAGTTTTGACTTTAACTTCTTGAAGATGTGCTACTGGGATAATAATTACTGGTTCAGTATTTTATCTAAATCTTTATGGTTTATACAAGACATCTTATACACTAAAAAGTATGCAAACATTCACATGAGAGATTTGTCTTTGAAGAAAGGAGTGGTGAAAGACTTTATACTTTGGTATTCATTTGAAAAAAATCAGCTACACAAATAAAATCAGCAGTAAATGTAGCATCATGTGCCAATATTTTCTAGATTCTAGGCAAGTCCCAGGTCTTATTCCACATCTTCAGCTTTCCTACTAACTTCAGAAGTTCACATCCCACCTTGGGAGTTCTATTCCACCCATGGAGGTGAATAGGTGTTCTCTCACTGGACAAATTCTTGACACTGATCCTGTTCCATCTTGCAGAGATGCAGAACTTTGTGTTTCCAGAAGATATTCCTGTTTTCCTTGCAGGAGGCACACAGTTCTCCTATTCTTTCACTGGGTAGCGCTTGGCATATTCATCATACTTTGATCCAGCTTGCTCAAATGAGAAATGGCTATATGAATCAATGTATTGCAAGTGGAAGATTTACATTTTGCCTGATAATCATAGTTAGGGGACATCCTCAGGAATTGAGACCTGGGTTCCTTGGCCCTTTTTAGATGGAGGAGGTTTTAACTCTACCTCCCACTGAAGCACTTGAACCAAGCTAAAAACTAGGATGGAATGAGGGCATCCTCCTTGTCTCATTGAAGTCTGGCCACTGAATACAAAGGAATACAGGAGGCATGGCACTGGAAGGAGAGCATTTAAGAAGACTGATTCTATAGTTCAGTGAGGGAGAACACTTTCCTAGGAAGAAAGGAGGGAACCCTGATCTCTGGTCCCTTATGTTTATCCGTCTTGCATTATATAGTAATTACTTGTATGCTTTTCATCCACTATTTTTTAAAATAAAATGCTTAAAATAATTGACCAAGGCACCCAGGGCTCACTTGCTCCTTTCTCTGTAGAAAAGTGTCCTCCTGAGCTATTGAATCAGGCTTCTGCTTGCACGTTCTCCAAGTTCCAGTTATTCTTATATTTTGTTTTCTGTTTAATGGCCTACCTTCCACAGAAAGTGGCAAGAGGTGGGATTGTTAGGAATAGGGATTAGATCCCATCACACCTTAAACTGAATGTCTATCAGAGGTCTGAGACGTCTAGTAGGTGAAATAGTAATGAGGACTTAGTTTTTAAATATCTTAATGTATTCCAAATTTTGTGTGATGGGGCAGACAATCCTACTGTTCCCTTTCCATGCTCAAAGCACCGTAGAGTTTTAGCCAATGCATTATGTTCCTTTTAATATAATTTTTTAAAAACTTTGAGTAGAGATTTTAGTAGCAATGGAAGTGCTTTATAATTTAAAATATGTTTTCAAAGTGGTCATATTTTCAAATAACAATTACATTGATGTGTAATGAATCTATGAATTTAGAAGCCGTGATGAGAGAAAGAAAGATGAACGTTCTCGCAAGAGAGACTATGACCGGAATCCACCTAGAAGAGATTCGTACAGAGACCGCTACAACAGAAGAAGAGGGCGGAGTCGGAGTTACAGCAGGAGTCGAAGTAGAAGTTGGAGCAAAGAGAGACTGCGGGACCGGGATAGGGACAGGAGCAGGAGCAGGACTAGAAGCAGAACACGAAGCAGAGGTAGCTGCTGTTGATCTATTTTGAACTAAGAAACTGTCCAAGTTAGCCAGATTTGGGGGCTTACCAACTTTGATACCATAAGTCTTATGAAAGTTAACTCTGTTTTCTTACAGAAAGGGATCTGGGAAAGCCAAAATATGATCTGGATAGAACAGATCCATTAGAAAACAGCTATACTCCAGTTTCTTCTGTAACAAACATTTCATCTGGCCATTACCCTGTCCCTACACTGAGCAGCACTATTACAGTTATTGCTCCTGCTCATCATGGCAATAACACGACTGAAAGTTGGTCAGAGTTCCATGAAGAACAGCTAGACCACAACTCATATGGAAGACCGCCACTGCCAAAGAAACGCTGTAGAGACTATGATGGTAGGTAATACTTTTTAGTAACTTAAATAGAAGTTTAAATATTGCACCATTGGTATTTTTTTGATAATGTCTTTTGTTTAGCACTGTCATCCTAAAAGCTGTTTTCTGTCATCCTATTTTAACTTTTTTCCTCAGTAAAATCCTTAAAACGAATAAGTCATTTGAATAGTTTACTTTTTAAACAGTCTCATGGTTGTCAGTGTATTTTTGACCTGTGCTACTGAAACTGCTCTTTTTATATGAATTTGTGGTTGTGATTTCCTTACCATTGTTTTGTTACACTTTTTATTATCTTCAGGCAGAAGTTAGTTGTCCAGTTCAAAGAAATCTTGGATAACTTGTTCCCCTGATTTTATTCCTAACTTTTTACTTATTACTTGATATTTTTTGACTGGTACTGGCTTTTAACTTCAAGTTCTTAGGCTTTCTTTGCACTTCAATTTTGGCAGCGTTTCTTAAAAATGTTAGTCCTGTGTTTATACTGGTAACACCTATCATCTATATCAGTGGTTCTCAAACTGTTTTGACTTGAAACACCCCTCATTGGTCCCAAGGCACCCCTCTGTATCTGTTGTGAATTGACACCCCATTTAAAAAACTAATTATTATATTACAGTGCTTACCTCCTTACATGGATGCTGGGCAGTAGGGGTGGGAGATTGTCCAGGTGGGTGCAAGCCTGAACCTGGCTTATCTGCTTATTTCTTCACATCTCCTCACACCTCATGGCACTATTCAAAGGATCTGGCATATCACTGATCTATAATATTTAATTCTTCTTTATACTTTTTACAAGTGTCAGCTCCTGAATTTGACACAGTTTGCATTTATTCAGTAGAAATGTATCAAGTGTATTCAGAGTTGATACCTTACTCACTAGGAAGAATTTCCTCATCTACAAAATCCCATCAATTTTTCAGGCCGGTTCCCATTATGGTATATGTTAGTAGCGAGGGATCAGCCTGCAGGTCAGATTGACTATGGGATCAGTGGTGTCAGTCTATGAGTGTGATCCAGAATGTCTGCCTGGCTCCGTGCTCTGGATCTGATTGCTGAGTGAACCCTTGTGCTATCGCAGTCAGCGTTGTGGGACTGTCATCTGGCTTGGAATACCCATGGGTCCAGAAATGTGGTGGTGGGGGAGCAGAGACAGTGTTAGCTGTCATGGCAATTAATGTTGCCACTGCTCCCCTGTTATCAAATTTCTGGACCTATGGGGTGCCCTGCAGGTTGGTTGACGCAGCCCCACATGTCGGAGGTTGATCATCACTGGTTGGCATATACCATCGAAGATCTAGGGTTGATCTACATTTAAACTTCCATTGATAGAGTAATGAGTGACATTTTGAGACTAGCAAAAGCCCAACTATAGACATAATTATACAGGTAAAGAGGTGCTTTTATTTCACAAGTTGCATGAACACTAAGGAGGACTACCAGTTTAGGTATGCAGATGTAGGTATTTATAAGAAGCTTTTGCTGATGGGGACTAAGCCCTAGAAGATTTTTATGCTTTACATCTACTTGTCTTTGGGATGCAGATTTACGTATTTTTAGAAACTGCATATCCATAAGTAGTTGTTATGCTGAAACTTAGTTAAGCTTCATCTTAGATTAAAGGCAGTTAACATTTGGTGGGGACTTAACCTAGAACATCTGACACATGGAAACAATATTTGCCCCTGGAAAATTGAAAGCTAAACAAGGGATCTTGAGCCCTTTTTCATTCAAACTTCCTGATTTTAGCTTTCATTTAATTTCTAAGTAAATGTGAGCAGACAAAGTAGGGTTAGGATTCTGAGATACCTTGACACATTGAAGGATTGGAGCAAAAGAAATTCCATGAGGTTCAATAAGGACAAGTGCAAAGTCCTGCACTTAAGACCGAAGAGTCCCATGCACTGATACAAGTTGGGAACCAACTGGCTAAATAGCAGCTCTACGGAAAAGGATCTGGGCATTACAGAAGACAAGAAGCTGAATATGAGCCAACAGTGTGTGCCTCTGTTGCCAAGAAGGCTAACAGCATACAGGGCTGCATTAGTAAGAGTGTTGCCAGCAGATCAAGGGAAGTCATTCTTTGCCTTATTTGGCACTGGTGAATGAAGTCATGTTTGGAGTACTGTGTCCAGTGTTGGGCCCTCCACTACAGAAAGGATGTAGACAAATAGGAGAGGGCATTTTATACACATGCTTTAGGAAAGTGTGTGGGATGCTTCAATTAGTGGCTCCGAGAGCTGCTGTAATTAAAGCGCCCAGAGCATTACGTGTATCAGTGTTCCCTGTGCTGAAGAATGGCAGAGGTACTTTAACTAAAGCTTGTCAAACAAGTTTTAGTTAAAGCACCCCTGCTGGTGTTTTTCAGCACGGAGATGCTGATGCATCTGATGCTGGAGTCTGCTGGAGCGCAGCAATTGCTACGCTCTAGCAGATTCTATTAATTGAGTCTGCTCCACTGCATTGTAATTACAGCGCATCGGAGCAGGCTCCCTGCATGTGTATCAGCACCCAGAGTGTCTAGTAGAGGGCAGTGAAAATGGTTAGGGGGCTCAGGCATAGGACTTACGGGAAGGGGCTGAGGGAACAGGTTATTTAGTCTGGAGAAGAGAAGACTGAGGTGGGATTTGATAGCAGTTTTCAACTACCTGAAGGGGGGTTCCAAAGAGGATGGAGCTAGACCAGGGGTGTCCAACTTTTTTGAATGTGGGGCCGGATCATGAACTTTTTATCACCCAGTGGGCCGGCGAGCCATATTCAA